TCAGTCCAAGTAACAATAAGACTACTGAGGCATCAAACTGAGGTGGCTTCATTGATAGACTGTGGGTCTTTGATGTAATTTGGAACGCCAAGGTCTGCTGAAACGTTCTGGTAAAGCACATGGATGAAGACACTCTTATCAATAACCCACCCACAAATATTGCTAGGAACGCAGTTATATTTGTCCTTTGAAACGTCATCTACTGAGAATTTGTCAATTTGTAAATCTACTATTGAAAATTGCGTTAAGGATATTGACTTGAGGGTGCCAGCAAACAAAGTGAAACTGAACAATGGCAAGACAGAAATTCTAGTGTTTTCGTCCCCCTACTGCCCACGTCCTGCTTTGAACAACCTTGTCATTGCTTCTGAAGCTGTTGACTGTTCAACAACTGCTAAGCCTTCTATGTCAATGCTTCCACATGTTACAGCTGTATGCAAGTCTTCTTTCTTTTATCTTCGAAATATTTTCAAGATTCGCAAGTTTCTTTCTTATGATACATGCAAAATTCTAATTCATGCCTTCGTTACGTCAAGGATCGACTATTGTAATTCGCTGCTCTATATATGGTCAGCCAAAATGCATGTATTTTACATCGTCTGCGAAGTGTCATTACTAATGCTGCAAGGCTCATTGATCTTAGCAGTATATATGAACATGTCATTCCTTTGCTTATCCAGCTTCATTGGCTTCATATGGTGCTGCACCTGACTATATCACTGAGCTCATTGTGATGCCTTGTGATGCCTTGTGATGCCTTGTGATGCCTTGTGATGCCTTGTGATGCCTTGTGATGTCCTGTGATGAGTTGTGATTTCCTGTAAAACAATATTGACACTTTGTGAATACCTTCCTGGGGGCTGTAGGTTCCAATATCATTCTCGACCCCAGTCCTTTGGTACAGTTACTCGGTTACATAGGGGTAAGCGCATACATGGAAAGATCTACGCACGGTGTTGCGAATTAGGTCTCTATAGAATTGTGATATGTGATGTGATCACAAACTTTATGTGGTAATGACAATCTTCCTAAATCGTGCATGGTATACGTGCCGCTAGCCAGAGTCCACAATAATTTAACCCAAGTGATAACCTTACCGCGCGCGTTGTCAAGTGGCTTTTTCGCAGTCATGTACCGAACACGAAGACGTAAAGTACTCTTTATTTCGACGATTCTTCTCTTAACCATGGCCGTGGTGATTCTTAAAAACAAAAAGCGCCGAGATGGAGGCATCGGTAATGAACGAACAAGAACTATCGACGACACGGTTCGAGTTTTAAACAGATCTGGACTTAATTTCAATAAACAGACTTCAGAAGGAGGATTAAATGTTGCAATTTGGGAGGACATATGTGGCTATGAAATGCTTTCACTTAAGGAGTACCCTCTATTTCCACATGGGCCGTCAAAACGGCTTAGGACGTCAAGATTGCGAATGCATTTCGCAGAGAAATTTGAGAATTTTGGATTACGAATCTTTGGATTTTTAGCTCCCTTTGAATCTGGGGATTTCAGTTTTTATTTAGCATCGACTGGATCGACTGAACTTTGGATGAGCTTGGACTCAAAACCAGAACACAGTCAACTGATTTGCAACGTTACTTCGGATATAAGCTGGAAAAATGGACGAGGCACGTTTCATTTGAATGCGGGCGAGCGGTACTATGTGGAGATTTTACACAAACATGGCGAAGTCGACGACGACGATAATGATGGAAAATTGAGTCACTTGCATCTAAAATGGAAATCTTCGACTTGGAAAGAACATGAACTAAGAGATATTCCTTCGAATGTTTTGAGTCCTTTCGAAAATGATCGTGATTTGAACAAAGTGAAATCAAATTCATTGCCAAGCCAGCAAGTGAGTGATTTTGCGCTTCCAATGCATATTCCACGCCGCGATCCGTCGTTTGTAAACGAAGAAGCGAAGCGTCGAGCTGAAATGTATCGCCTTCCTTTCATCAGCGAAGAAGACACGCGTGATCTATTTCCTCCGTGTCCGTACAATCCGTCTTACCTGGTGAAAAAACCTTTACAGAGATACCAGGCTACATGGGAGAATCATTACACTTCGATTTATCCTTTCGACTATTCAGATGTCGTACACCGAGTTTACGGAGCTGGCGACTTTGTGAATTTTGGAAACGACCAGATGGATGAAAATACAGCTAGTGGGATTGTTTCTCAAGTTTGGATGAAGATACAAAGCAAGCGCCCTGGGTAAATATTTCAAACACAACCACTTGAATTACACCACAGATTTAAAGAACACATGAAAGAGTGATGAATAGGCCGATCCTCGACACGCTCGTAAATATTTTAAACCCCTCTTTATATTTCTGTTTGATTCTAGTAAACTCCTTTATATTTTCTGACAAAATTATAAATGGGTCTCGGGTGGCTGGCAGAGGAAAGGAAAGAGGGAAAGTAACATCCTTTCTATTTTTTGTCCGTGTGCTTGAAAGACTGTTTGATGCGAACACCAACATATCATATTGATTTTAACATGGTTACACTAGTTTTAATGGGTGTTACGCAATTGAAATTCTGTTATGCTCGCTAAAAAGCTAGAAATATCTTCTCATATTTCCCATGTTGGTTTTGAATGACATCTCACAGGATCGCCAAATGATCAGTCGAAGCTCCGTCGACTACTTCTACGTTCCGGTTGAAAACGTTTACAAGTAGTTAGCAATGATAACTTTAACTGGGGAAAGAAGCCGCCATTGATTGTTTACATTGTGTTGTAGGGTGATGTTAAATCGAATGATTAAGGCCGATATCGTGCGTGAAATGTTTCATTTTATTGACATTACTGGCGACTTCGTTATTAATATTGCTGGTAAGGTCCTACCTGCGATGTTCAGTATCTAGGCAGCGTTTTTCCGCATGGCATATGCTTCGTTTAGCCAAGCGGAACATACGGTCGAAAATTATTTACGCTCGGTTATTGTTTGTGGTGTTGTAAAAACTCAATGATTCCTTCACCAGCCGCTCACATATATTCTAGTTTTACAGATCATTCAGTTACCAGGAACTTTCAGTATTCATTGCGTCAGCTGTACCACAAGTGTTCTGTGCCGTTAGGAAACAAAGAGTTCTTTTCCGGAACAGTGTGACCGCAAATTTGAGTAACAAAAGAAACATCACTCTAGTATGCAAATTACAAGAAATTAGAAAACAACGCAGTAATTGCATAGATTTCAAGAAAGAATTAAGGCTGGTTTCCATATGATCGCAGACGATCGCAGAACTTTTTGCGATCTGCGATCCGCGATCCGCGATCGTCTGCGATCATATGGAAACCAGCCTTTAGTGTTTAGACGTTTTTTGGAATTGATCATCACAGTAGTATGTGTTTTCCTGTTTGGTAAATTTGTTCTATTTAAAACGCCACTCAAACGAGTAAAATAAATTACCCAGTGAGGCAAGCGTTCCCTTGGATACCTTGAATTCTGCAAACTTTCCACCTGATTAAACTGCTATACCTTGTAGGCATATTATGCTCTGATGATGGTGTTGTTCTAACCGAAATTCCGCTGAATCTCGACACAATGAACATTCTCGGATTATCATGCATTCTCTATTGTAAACTTCTGTATGTACGCCGGAGGTTGCGAGAGCTCGAGCAGGGCGCTTAATCCTGGCAGATGCGCTTTCGTATAAAACGTTGCCAGGCATTTTCGCAGTGTTTCAACCTCGCTCGCGTGGCTGTGTTTACCTGTCCACGCTAAAACGTTGCCTACAATGTTCCTGTGAGGCTTTCTCCCATGCGATCACGGTCAATTTATTTCGGAGGCCTGGGAGCTAGTTAAACTAAAACGCGCAAGAAAACGCTGATACGCTATGAGAAAACACCACAACCGTTGTTTGCGCATTTGATTAGCGTTTTCGAGAGCCCCCGTTTTCGCTGTCCGCACGAATACGATAGGGCTTCACACTGAACAGCGTTTCAAATTTTTAGCGTGGACGTTTGCGCGCCAGGAGAAAAAAAATATGCGTTTTCAAACGAGTAGCATTAATATGGACAGTCGCTCGAGATCGACGAAGCGCAGGTTGGTGCTCCTTTGTGAACTTTCCACGAGCATACTCAACTTGATACAGCTGTTTTGGGAAAGGTTATCCCACAAAACCTTATAAGCGTACGCAACAATGTCGAAAGGTATTATAGGTAATGGTAGTTTAAGGTGTCTTGATTGAAGCTGCAAGGTGTTTCAGCGTGATAGAAAAGAACAGGACAAACACGTGTACTCATGCTTCCCTTTCCTTCTTGCTGAAACACCGTGAACCTGGCGTATATTTAAGTTTTGTGGGACAACCTTGGTCGAAACAGCTGTGAACAAACAGGTCAAACATGAACCAGTCCTGTTATCATCTTAGCTAGTAGTGGCTACTAGAAATGGCAACAAACAAACTTTACTGTGCGTTTCAATAACATGCGGACTCTAAAATTCAAAGCTCAACCGACTAATGCATTTTTCGCTACCGTCAATCAAATGTTCGGCGACTCCTCCCAGCTTCCGACTACTGCCGAGCAGTGTTTCGTTGTCTGAACTGTGCTCAACGATTTGATTACCTCGCGCTCGACGGTAGTCAGAAGCTGGGAGGAGCCGCCGAACATTTGATTGACGGTAGCGAAAAATGCATTTGTCGGTTGGACTTTGAATTTTAGAGTCCGTATGTTGTTGAAAGGCGCAGTGATTACACAGAGATCGTTGCGATCGTTGCAGAAAATGTTTAGCGGGCCTTATGACTACTGGCTTCCATATGATCTCTACAATCGTCGAGATAGGTTGTTGAAGCGATTGCCATGATCGTTGCACAGTGGTTTCTGTATGGTAACAACAATCGCCAAACTTTTTGGCAGCGATCGCATTGATCATACGAAAACAGGATTATAATCTCTTGATGGAAACTAACCTTTACTTTTGGATCGGAGATGGTCGCTATTTTCGGGAAGATTGTTTCTCTCAGGTAGGAAGATAAATATAGCAAAACGTAACATAAATCAACATTTAGGTGATCCGATAAAAACTTGGATTTTCTTTTTTGACATTTTGTAGGAAGTACTCTCTTCGACACACCTTAAATGTGGAGGAAAACCATGATCAAGGTACAGGAGACAGATATTTGGTGGAACTGGAACTTATGAAAATTTCAAGTAGAAGATCTGTGCGATTCTCTGAACATCTATACAGACCTTGGGGAACAAGTGATCTTTGTACACCTGTGGGCGTGGCATCGAACAAGAGTGCTGTAGTCAACGTCATTTTAACCACAGGAAACAACCAAGGAAGATGGCTTCTCCATTTCCTTTACCACATGTCGAAAATACACAAGAAGACTAAGGATTTCAAATTTAACGTGGTTATTACTGAATTTGATGGCATAGATATTGATTTAAAAGCAGCCCTGAAGAGAAGTGCGATTCCAAATTATCAACATGTTAGACTACCAGGGAAATTTCAGAAGGCCTTGGGGCTGCAACTGGCTGCTGGGATGGTCAAAGATCCGAATTCAATCTTGTTTGTTATGGATCTTCATTTGGATATTCCTTATCATTTCTTTGATGATGTCAGAAAGGTTAGTAACTATTCTAAAAACATTTTGGTGATAACCTGGGGTTGGACAACATTTTGAGGCGTTTTGATGTGGTGCATGACCGGGGGAAGCTTAGTTGCGTAGACCTAGTTCACACCAGCGACATAACGACATAAGAAGGACTTTATGTCGTTATGTTTGCAGTGTGAACATCCTGACATAACGACATAATAGCAACATAACGACATAAGAAAAACATTAAGGCCAGGTTCACACTAGCGATATAACGAAATAACAACACAACGGCATAATGACATAACGGCATAATCGCTTATGTCGGAAGTGTGAACATCGACCTGAAGACATGAGGAAAAGATCAGGTTTTTTCGTCTATTTCTTCTTTTTTTCTATGTCGCTAGTGCGAACTAGGCTTAAACGTTTTCTTATTGATTTTTTTTTTTTTTTTTTTGACAAAAAACATATCTCTTAGTCCACGGTCAGGTCTATGTTATGAGCGGATGAACGGATGAGTGGATGAGTAAATGAGAGATGTATGTATGTCACACCAATCAGATTGGGGCTACTATAAACAACCAATCAAATTGCCGCTTGTAAAGGTGTGTGAAGATTTCATCCCGATTTTAGAATTGCCATCATTGTTTTTCTACAAACAGAAACAGCTGGTATTCTTGTATTGGCCTTATTCCGACATTTCCGATACTGCGTTTTCTATGGTTAAGCCCAGGACTTTCTAGTTTGGTTTCAAAAGAGTTCAGAATTCGCTAATCAGCCGCGGAATCATAGTCTTTGGCACACACTAACATGTCATCAAGGCTTTGCTTTGAATATGTTTTTCGTCTCCCTGGTACTCTAATTGGAAGCTCCTTTTTTCCTAATTTATCGGTTTATTTACTGAAACCCATAATTCTGGTGCACAATACGGTAATCTTTAAATTTTAATTCAGGAAAATCTCGCGTATGGTCGGTATCGCGCACTATTACATGTAGTTGCATATTGTTTACAAAAAGAGAATATTCTACCCTTTATATTATTACGCTCCTTACCCTCGTTTTTTTGTTTCCAAACCTTCTCACTTTCCATGGAAATTGATCTTTTTAGTTAAGAATTATCAGGGTGTCTTTGTAATTTTTATCGCCAAATATAGCAACGGATGAAGTTGAATATAGCAGAGCTGTCTGGTTTTGTAGCCTTAGTCTGCAAGTCCGGGCGTACAGCTTTGAGCCACACGTCATATAAAGACTCTCGAATTTCCAGTTTGCTTGCACAAAGAGAAGAGGTTAAATTAGTAACTACAACACTGCAGGGTAACAGCCATTTTTGGAAGGAAAAAGCGATCGAAGTTTTGTTTCGTGACTGGTGGAGACACCGTTAATTTGTTTGCTTCGTTCGCGGTTGTTATTTCGCATCTGATTGGTGGCTAAACAATCGACCATGTTCAAGTCTCAATTAAATAGCGCTAGGCCTTTCCACAAATATCAAGCTAAATCGCCTAAATATCCTCCGGAAACTCTCAAAAAAAGTCTCCCAAATATCACCAAACCTTTTCTAAATATCTCGAAAAACCCTCGACATACCTCTTATTTTTCTTGTAAAAATGCACCGATTTTGAATCACTTGGGCCGAAAGTTTAAAATTTCTTGCAATGGCAGGAGTGGAGCAAGAAGATTCAGGCGCTTTGATGTTATCAGCATCCGCCATTTTAGAAACTGATTTGTTCCTTCAGCGCTTTTAGTGATATGGAATACATTTTTCGAGTGGGAAATCGCTGAACTGAATTGTTTCTAGAATAAAACTGAGTCTTGTTTTAAGGGAATAGCGAGGAAAACACAGGGCTAAGCCAAAAAAGCTATGAATAATTCTAAATATAAATCCTAAATATCCAAAAAATTATGTCATTATATCAGGATGTTCACGCTACAAATATACCGACGTAACGTCCTTATGTCGTCATGTTTATGTCGTTGTGTCGCTAGTGTGAACTAGACTAATTAAACGAGCTGACTCTGACAAGGGACATATTGTGAGAGAGCCATTCTGAATTTTTATTTTCGATTTGATCTGCACTAGAAACGCCAACATTTTCATTAACAGAACTATTTCTGTTTGAAGTGAAATGTTCTTTAAGGAAGTGACCTAGTTACGGAAGAAACGTGGTAGGAGCGTCAGCTTATTCCCGAGGGGGGGGGATGGCTTAGGACTGATGGCCTATTAATAGGCGGGCTTGATATACCGTACATTTGGTCTCAGACCGTCCACACTACGCCGGAGGAATTTGAAAAACGGAGGTTTCACTCTGAAGACGCATCAAGTGTTTTCCATCCACACTGCCGTAGGAATTTGAAAACGCAACCATCACCGGTCATTTTGGATTTGTGTTTGAGGAAAACTCGAGCAGAGAAATCACATTATTATTGTGAGTTTGCGACGCCATCGTTTTCGAAAAGCTCCGTTTTCAAAATGTTTTCCGTCCACACTAAAACGCAAAGCCGGCGTTTTCAAATTCCTCCGGTTTGAACAGCGTTTTTGAAAAGTTTCATTTTCTTGACGGATTAGTGTGGACGGTAGGCCTAACCGGAGATATAAAGTTGCGCTTTTTCGCATTTCTCCTGCGTATTGTGGACGGGGCTTCAGTAACCCAAATCTGAGTATTTTCTGAACAGGCGTGGACAGTATGAACTTTCGTCGCTCGAAAGCGGTTTTGGCGATAAGCTTTAGTATTCTGGCCCATGCCTCACCTTGGTCCCGAGTAATATCGTTCGTTAAGGTGGCCGTATACTAACATATTAGTCTTATTCTTAATTTTGCTGCAGCATTGCGTTCGAAATAGGATTGTATACAATCCCTTGCTCATGCGACTTACGTGTGGAAGGACACCACATCGACTAGGGGGCTACTGGGAAGTGTATGGCTACGGAACGCTGGCAATTTACAAGAGTGACTGGGACAGGATTGGAGGAATGAATGTCGAGGAGTTCAAGAATAAATGGGGCGGAGAAGATTGGGAGATTTGTGATCGTATTTTAATGGCCGGTATGGAAATTGAAAGACTCAAGATGATGCATTTATTTCATTATTTCCACTCAAAGAAAGGCATGTGGGCCAACGCCAGTAACGCTACTCAGTCGCTTGACTATACAAACAACTACTGGGTGTGAAGTAGTAATGACTTTCTCTCCTTGTTTGACTTTCACCTGGCACACGAGCAAACAAAGTTGTGCTCGCTAGGGTACTCTCAGCCTCGATCCCAGGCTCTATCTCCTGGTTAGGTACTCTCCTTCGCAGTGTTATTTGTCAGTCTCGTCACGCAACGCTCTTACCCCAGTCTCCTCGTGACAATCCAAAAAGAGCAGAAGAAGGGCAGAAAGGGTAGCTTCATGTAAAAAAAAATACTGAAGTTAATAGAAAAATATATATAATAGTATTTTAACAAAAAAAAATTATCTTAATTATTACAAAGCCAAGTTCAGAGACACAGCCTCATTCGGACAGGACACCTTGTTGTATTTATTTCAGAGTAGCCAGGCCTTGGGTTGGTGTGCTATGCAATATATGTATTTTTTTAATTGACTAAAAATATTCTTTTTTCTACGAAAGATATAGTTATAGGTATATGTTGGTAGATTACAAATCAAGTTAAAATTTTAGTCGTTTTGTTATTTATTCATAACTAGAGAATTCTTGCGTTCTAATTTTCAGTAAAATAGGTTGTTTCCCTTTTTGTGTTGTTTCTTTTAGAGGTTTGTTTGGTATACCACTACCCCCTGCACTAGACAACCCTGTTTTTATGGGATATAATTTTGAAATTATCAAAATTAAATGCACAAGAGTCTTAAATCTTTTTACACATAGAGCACTGTGTAAATCCGTTGTAAATAAGTTTTTTTTTTTCTCAGTAAGTGAGCGGGCGGAATTCAAAAAAGAAGGATTTCAACCTCTGCACTCCCAAATGAACCCAATACTAAACTGCTGAACTAAACTGCGTCGTACTCAACAAAAGTCTTGTTCCCAGAAGCCGCGAATGTTTTTGTCAGCGCCAGGAATTGTCGTTGCCCTTTACGCTGGATAATTGTAACACGGGCTCTAAATGTATTTGACAGATTTTTCGCTTTCTTTTTCGGGAATACTAAAAATTTTTCAACGCTTTTTCTAAACCAAAATCTCTCGCTCGTAGTTTTAGTTTTGAACTGTGGGACATTAGCTGTGAAGCTCGGGGACCGAAAAAATAGACGTAATATATCGTTTGAATAAATAAATAATGACTTTATTGGATAATTAACACAATCAACCCAATTACTGGTAAAACCAGTAGTTCTCATTGCGGTACTTCTCATTGTGGTCCTTGTGTCAATTCTAGAATTTCGATCTTTGTATTTCTTGAATATTAGATTTCTAAATTTACAAAGGAGAATGAGGCCCCTCGTAGTACTGTCTTGATTGTTCCATAGTCTAGTGCTACTTGCAAAAAATGATTGTTCGCCGGTCTTGGTGTTAAAAAAAGGAGTAGTTAAGTCCATTTTAGTTGACGTCCGATTTGTGTTATTGACAAAGCGAATACAATGATTAAAGTAAATTAATCGGTTAGGCAGTTTGTGCGCATGACTGAAGTGACGTTTGAACTGGGTGAATATTTGATATGCCAGTCATCAGTGATGTGAAATAAACTAGTGTTGGACCCAAGTCTTTTATTCTTCCCGGTGTTCTACCTAATAAAATACACGGAAATGGTGTATATTACTGCAGCCGAAGAAGCAGTGGTTGGTAATTTTCTTGCAAGTGTACAGTACCCTCAATAGATCATCGACTGACACAGTGAAACCATCGTCACATAGAGCTTATTGAATAGTTGAAGCTCTTCTGCGACCACTTTGGTGAGCGACCATTGCTTCGTTTTAGCGGGCCTCACCACCATTCCGGTCAGCGGCCTCGTTAACCTGAATAGCACCCCGGTTAGCCTACATAGCACTTACTCGACAGTGGTTATCCCTCAATAATTGTAAGGGTTACACATAAAACGTTTCTTACCGCTGATTCTCGTTTCGCTGTCATGGCGTTACGAGTTTCACTAACAACCCAATTACAATTTCCCGTAAGCAATGATTTCTCATCTACAGAGGCGGGAGACCGCTTTTGGGACTTCACGAACTAGGTTCTGTATCTGGGTTTAAGTCCTTGTCAGTGACCACTGCACAGAAAATGTACTATGCACAGTCGAGCTGGATTCTAAAATGTCTGCCGGTGGGGGAGTAGACCTATAGGATACTAGATTCGTGATCTCTTTCGTGGTCACTGGCAAACCGGCGACCAGCGCCAGTTACGAGCACTTTTTCCAGATCCCCGAGG